CACACAGGTTCAAAAGTCTACATACAGCCTCAAATATATACATGCACCTCCACCAATATTTGGTAAATGCCTATAGTAAGTGTATGTAAACTTCTGACCACAACTCTATCTGTATTAAAAGGGAGTGACAACAGAATTTCAATAGCAAAACAGCATGCATGACTATTCTTATTGCAGGCACACCTACGAACAGTTCTGGAGTGCATATTTATCCTCATGAAACACAAAAAAAATAAACCTCACTAAATTTCCACTGGAAAAAAGAAATCGCAGCAATGTTCATTTTTGCACAAAGCATGAAAGCTGTCAAATTTTGACCTTCACTGGGGAGTAACGGAATACATGTACCGGCGTTTTGTATTTACAATTCAAAATATGACTGTATTCTGTTACAGTTACTGTTTAAATAAGTGGTAATCACAATACAGTTACTCTGTTGAAATAAATAGATTTCACGGCAGTCATTTCCAGTTTCAAATATTATGCTATCCCCTCTCTGTCCTTATCCAATTTTGATGATTTGGCACCGTTGGGTGCAGGTTTAGCTGCCAGCCCGGGTTTGAGTACAACCTGGAGCCCTTTTTTTAATTATAGTTTTTTATTTACTCAATTTCCATCTGGGATGAATAGAGTTTCTCTGATTCTGATTTCTGGAAACCCAAACAAAACATGCAAAAAGAGGCTGTAATGTAAGCGTCCTGTTAATGGGGGTGAGGTCAGTTACACAATGGACCCAGAGCCAGCAGTGCACGGGCAGGAATGCATTTACAACACCACTTCATAAGAAAAATGGGATGGGATGAAAAGTCAGTACCTTCAATGTACTATGCTGTGTGATTTTTGTTACTGTTAATTAAGGAGCTTACATTGTTAGCTGGCATTACACGAGGTGAGTTCATAGACTGCAGACTGTTAGGCCGTTTCTAAATACTCATGTACGCAAGTTCTCGCTAGTCCAGACTTCATAAGTTCACACAGCAGTCCAGACTTCCCAAGAACCCAGTGCAATCGTTCTACAATTGGAAGTGCAGTGTATTGATGACATCGCTGCTTTGGAGTTTTTACTGCTGTCCCTTCTTAATTTAACTCTGATTAATATTTATTAATTAGGAAATTAATTTCCTGCAATGGAAATTACACATGACATAAAAATAATATACATGATGTAGTAGATTTCTTTGAGAAAAACCAAGATGATTTGAACTGAACAAAAATGTAAAATACAATCTGATCGTTTTTGGAGCAGCCTTCGGGATCTAAATGTATTAATGTGCTGTTTTTAGACTTGATGCATTAACAACCTGCTAGCTGACTTTTCCAGGCAGCTTTTCACCATTACTAACCAGGTTAGTAAACTGTGACAGACAGTTTAGTTAGTTTGAACTGGTTAAATGCAAAGCTGTTTTACTGAAAGCGTACATTAACTTCAAGGAGAGCCAAAGCTAACATAAACAAAATGGCCCCAGTCTAAACAAAATCCCATTAAACTAACTAAATTACAAAAAAAAACACTTTCAAACCTACAACTCAACTCCCTAATATATCAAGGAAAAAGAGGGTGTCTGTCACAGATTTCAACTGTATTTCAGTAGCATTTTTCTCTGCCAAGGACTTGCAGGCGGAAATTAACTAATCTTTAAATCTGGGACAAGCCATCTTTTACTACTGTGAGGTTAACTTACTGTGTGCACGATTCTTGAAAAAATAAATAACATTTGCTCTGACCTTGAGTGATTCCCCTGGCAGCACCATGTCCTGGATGTCCTTCCTTGTCCTTCCAGCCTGTACAGGAGAGAAGGGTCTGGGGTTTTCTTTCCATTACTTTATATATAGTAATGAAAGGATGACTGGACTCCCCTTAAAAGGAAAAGGCATGTTGGTACAGCCAAACACCATTAAAATCTAAATCTATTTTTTTTACTTTTGCATTTACCTTTCATTATTTACTTACATGGTATGCTGCTGATATTCCAAACAGATGTATGACGTCAACAAAATCTTTCCTGCCTTGTGGTGTTTGGATGAGCTCAGACTGTGATCTGTCTCCCTCTGTTGGTCAATGTAATATCGCACAGATCCTAAATTTACAAAACTATGATAATCTAATGTTTATTTTTCGACAGTTTATTACGGCCAAAAGGTGAAAATCAAAGTCAGATTCCTACATGATTTGTGTTACTTGACTACAAAAAGGTCAAATCAGAGCACCTGCTGTGTCTTCCAGTCAATCCAGTGTCAGTGGTTTAGAAATGTTTTGTTGCTGATCTATTTTTAGGTCAGTATGACTGACACACAGTCACAACAAATGGAAAAGAAACTGTCACCTTGATTCTGATAGACTTTATTTGGCAGTCATTATAGATGACAAACATTACAGTTCTTGAGATTCTTTCTATTGTGATATGATACAGCAAACTAGTAAAGTTATTAACTGCAACTTCAATATTCAGAGGTGAATTCTTTTACAGAGATGTGCATCAGTGTTACAGTGACAGGGGTCTGCATCATCTAAAAGTTACATTTGTTAAGGTAAACTATGGTATATGTCCCACCCTGAATACGCCTGCCTACACAAGTGAAATTGTGCTAGGCCTGTTTTTTCACTTCTCTTTACAAGCTGCAGAGGTCGCCGCTGCTCAGGAAGCTGCAGGGAAGAATGTAGGCCATATATATAAACAGGTTCTCAAAATCAAAAAATAAATATATTTTATTCAAATGAACGAAACTCTTTAATTGTGAAAATGAATAGCTGAACCCAAAACAGATGACAAATATAGAAACTGAAACAAACTCTCAAATAAAGTCCAAATACATCAAAATTACACCTAAAAAGGACAAAACTGACAAATAAATGCAAAAACACCGAGTAGGAATTTATTAATTAACCATTAGATTTTGAAAATGTAGAACAAAAATAAACTGCTTCAGTGCAAACATTTCCATCTCGAGACACCTTGTAGTTTTAGGTAATATGATCTTACATTCTGCACAGAAACTGACGTCCAACAGGGATAGAAAAAATTTCTGGTAAATATTTATCAAATTTTTAATCCACTGTTTATATAAAATGTCATTTTTAGTTAAAAATGATTCCTGACACAAAGACGCGTGTTCGGATGACTTTGATTTATTCATCAGAAACTTGTTTACGTAAATTAACTCGAGGCCTCTGATCAACATCTGTAAAAATCTTAGAGTGGAAAACACTGCATGAGAATGCAAAATGTCTCATAAGAAGTGTGCTTTCACAGCATCACACTGTGGCTGGACAGAAGGTTTACTTGTGGTGCGTTACGCCAGTTTAGCAAAGACATGTCTAACCACATTCTTCCTTTCATGACCACAAGTAAGCACCTAATGACTCACTGCAGCCGGGTGATGCATCCTTACACAAAACTCTGTACAACTAACACTTTTTAAGAGCGAAATAGATCCTAGTATTGATATGAAAATTTTAGAAGTCATTGCATTGCATTTGATTTAATAAGATATAAGGCTTTGTGCCTTTTTAAAATGTTTACCATGTGTTCCTTCTAACCATGATTGCCATCATTCATTTTAAATCTCACACAGGCAGCTCATGTCATTCACGTCTTTACGTGTTTGTTCTGTTCTGACTGAGCCGTTTTGATTTGAGTTAGGATTTTGTGATCGGTGCATGAGAATGACTGCTTGGTTAGCAGGAAGGTTTACGAGAGCTGATCGGAAAAAATAAAAAAATATACACATTCACGTGTTCCATTTAACACTTTAAAAAAAGTGTTGTGTAGGTGTGAAGACAAATATATTTACCAGCAGGTTTTACATTTCAGAGACCCCAGAGGCAAAACAGACCTGATTCAGAGCAAATAAGAAAACAATGTCAGAAACACTACATGGCAATTAAAGAATATACTGTAATAATATAATAATATGGTGACGGTACATGCAATGACAGAAAATGCTAATCAAATCAGAATGATGGTCACAGGTGATGCATGGTGTGAGAAAATGTGCTGACTCACTCCTAAAGACTGCATGTTTGCACTGACACCACACACTATTACACACTATGACTTCATGTGCTAAACTACTTCAAACAACCTTCAAGTAAGGCCTTACTATGGTAAATATGGGTAAAATTGATCACCACATGCAATAATACAGTAAATTATATTAATTAAATAAAAATGGGGATATAGGAAACAATAAAAGAGAGTGGAAAACCCTTTTTATTTCCAAATATCCTGTAATTTAATGATAAATTCTATTTCATTATGTAGCAGGATTGTCACAGCGTTTATTTCTCTGATTGACGTGTTCCAGTGGACTTCAAAGTCCGGAAAGTCATTCAGTTAGAGAGTGGAGCTAAATTATCATCCACTCCAATTACTTACAATTTGGAATCTGTATAATCAGCTCCTCTTAAATATGATAGAGTGTCCTTTTTGTTTGGAGCATGGAAGTATGCTGTACATACTTGTGTTTACCTGCTCATGATCTGAGTCATACCAGAATCATAGCTTAAAGGCTTTATTCTTGACAAAAAGTGAAGCAATGATGCTAAACAGTCATTCTGTCAAGATCTCTGTTGGTAGCTCATCACAACCTGATGCATCGCTGCAGCCCCTGACATGGGTCAGAAATGCTGAGTTCAACACTCGTGTCGTGCTATTGAGCGCAAGCTCAAATGTGCCTTTCATAAGGTAAATGTAGTTTTTACTGAACAGTTGTGAAGACATGTTTTGATAGCTTAATGAAAATCACGTCTCTCTTTTTCAGAATACAGAAAGCACTTTAAGGAAGGATAGCATGTAGCAAGTACTCATTTTATATTATTTGATCAGTATGTATATTTTTTTGTTCTTTAGCACAATCGCACGAAAAGTATGTGAACCTTTTAACTGGTTACAAGACACACACACACACACACACACACACACACACACACACACACACACACACACACACACACACAGACACACACACACACACACACGAAGGTTTTTCTGCCTCTTTATTTATCACACAAGCGGATTTCGAATGATCAAAAAACAACATCAGAGAAGCCTTTCAGGTAGCTGCAGACATGCATAGAGAGAACCGATGTCTGGAGACGGTCCTCAGAGAAGTACTCGCTCATTTTGTGCTTTAAAGCAAAATGTGAATGTGGTTTATTTTTCAGAAATATGCAGATAAAACTCAAAAATACTCATTAGCAAATTTCATCACTTGCAAATACATTTTTAACACGTGTAACCCATAAAGGTTACACAAAAAAGTCCAGAAAAATGCATGAATAAACAATGAAACAATCGAAGACAAATAATCAAAATATAGCAATGGCAACATTAAAGGGTTTGTGGCACAGGTAAAATTCTTTGTTCAGTTCCATTCAGATTTATTTAAACAGCGCCAGATCACAACAGCAGTTGTGTCAATGCGCTTTATACTGGAAGGTAACGATCGTACAGCATTACAAAGAAAACTGAAAAAAGCACAACAATCTTTAATTTTCACTGTCATAATCAAAATTGTCATATATGCCCTGCTCAAGATGTACTGGTAGGCCATTTTCACATTTTACCTTCTTCTTCTTTCCTTTGAGTGCTAGAGACTTGTATTTACAAGGCTTCACACTTTTCATCTTACAGTCAATAACATCAAATTTGTGGGTGATGTATTCATTTTTTTTACCTTTACACAAAGCCTTAACCTTTTCTGCTTTCTGGTTGATAAACGTATTAATTCGCTTGCACTGATTAATGCCATTAACGTTTTTCATCATATCATCACATTTACGAGAGCCGTTTTCTGGAAGGATGTGTTTCTTTTTGAAATCATTGTAAGTTTGCGAGAGCACAGCAGCACAGAGCAGCAGCAACAGCAAACAGGCACTCTGAACCCTCATGATTCCCTGGGGAAGGAAAAGAGAATATTTAAAGGAGTCTCTCCTCTGTACTGTTTTGGTTTCGTTGATGTAATTCAACAATCATAAAAAACCTACTTAAAAAGCTTAAGACCAAGATAAAAACCATTTGTAGTAATCTAATCTGGAAAATGAACTATGTGGTTATTTTTCTAAAAGCTTTTAGATTACAGGTACAATAAAACAATACTCACAGAAAAATATGTGTAAAATAATGAAAATAATACTGCATAGACTTACCCTACTCTTTCGACTGTTAGTGTTACATTAGAAACAACCACAATTTTGTTTGCCACACTTCTCAAAATTATCGTAGTTTTTGCTTTACTGACAGCAGACTCACCTTGACTTGTGAGTTGGTTGCTGGTTTGGGCACAAGGTGGTCGTCTGCAGCACCAGCTGGTAAAGATATCTTCAGTCAGTGAATTCCCCTGAATGTGGTGAATGGTTACAGTGAATTAATTCTGTGTCAAACTAGACACAAATCAATGGAGACATTTCAGATATTAAGCTTTAGCAAAATCGACCTAATCACAGAAACCACATCATGTTTATCAGATATGCAAATGCACTGAGACTAGAATATGAGGGGTTCCTGTTGTCTTCCTGTCTTTATTGTCTGAGTAGATTCAAACAGATTAAAAGGATTTTTATTTAGCATTTAGAGGATATTATTTCAAAGTGCATTTTATTAAATACATTTATTATAGTATCACAACAAAAGTATGGAAACCTGTTTAATGTCCCATAAATTTGATCAGGTCTTCATTTTGACACAGAAATTTCACCTCAAAATCCTATGAACTTAAATAATGAGTCAAACACAACTTTTTCTTCATTTGCATTTTAAGACGATGAAACCCCAAATCTGATGTGGATACCGATGTAGACGTGACCAAAGGGCCTAGACCGATTACTGCTGGCTTGGAGCTCTTTGAAGAACAAATACTGAAGAGTTTTCTGACAGACAGAACACCTGACACATACAGATGATGACACCTCTGACTGAATGGGAATAACTACCTAAGAGCCTCTACCTACAAGATTTACAACAATAACAACACAGTCCTTTACTTTGAGTGTTTCAGTGTGTATATGTGCTGCTGGTATCAGTATCCAAACACTGGTATCTGATGGCAACACTAAAGCTGGTGTAGTTATTGAACTAGGTTTAACACTAAATTAGCAGGTATTTCAGTCCCAGTGCTCTGATTCCCATCATGGTGAAGAGAGGTTGATTAAATTGGAACATGCAGACGAATGTTAGAACAGAGGAGTTTTTATCCCCCCCCCCCCAATAAATACATAAATACATAAATGAATAAATAAAAAATAAAATAATAATAATAATATCAGGATGCAAGGAGATTAAATGATGTTTAAGTAGGTCTAAAGATCTCCGTAAATTTTATTACACTTGAGCAAAAAGTTACACGAATGCAAACTTTTGTTAAAATCAAAATAGTTCACAGACTGACCTGTGTGCAGCTGAGGCTCATCCGAAAAGAGAAAATTAGAAAGAGGTTAAATGAACCCCGATTTCTCTGTGTCAGCCCCTTTTATGCTACACAACTTGTACTACTGCCCTGGTTACCACTCACACTAGCACACATAGCTTAGCAACCACATTTCCTGTCCACTTCATATCTGTACTCTGAGCCTTTATGTGATACACACAAAAACCACACCAGCAGAGTCACAGCAATGTGGCTGCAAATGAAGGAAATGCACCTACTTTCTAGACCTACTTTCTTTACAGCACGTACAAATATTTGTTTGTGTACTTTCCAGTTTTTATGTCTATTTACAAAGACATGCTTGCTATATTACTTAATCACATCCTTGTAAATAAACAGTTACAGACACGCAGAACTACTAAACTGTATTCACATTTAAAAATAGTTAGAAAGCAGAAAATAGAGAAGACATATTGTCATCTGCTTTTGCATTCAGACCTGACTTGTTGCCATTTTGGTTCAGGAGGAGAGAGGAGTGTAGTGGTGGCTACTTGTGGTGGCTGAGAGTTACGGTACATTATTATCATCATTATTATTAAAGCTATGCATTATATCAGACAGCTGTAGTTAGCACCCTGCTAATCCAATGTAAAAGCAAATCAAAGATGAAAGTCAGATCATAGTGTTGTACTTTGAATTAAAACGATAGTGTTACACTGCCAGTTACCACCATCGTGGGCATCTCTATGAGTTTATGAACAAAGAAACTGTGAATGCTAATAATCTACTTACAGCATCATGTCACAGTCACAAACCCAGATGTCTACTAGAAAATACCTGAGTTGTTTAAACTGTCACTTTTAACTTTTAAATCAAGGTTTTAAGAGCTCTCATCGTTATCAAGTATTTCCAGGTGCAGCTTCTTCATTGAATGGCAGGAGCGCCCTCTGCCGTTTGCATAGAGAAGGGAAAAGTTCACAGCAACTGGCATTCCCAGGCAATCTCCCTCTCCCACTCAAGATTTATAGTTGAAATGGTAAAAAGGCAAGGGCTAACTTGACAGAATAAAGTGAGAACAGAAAAAATATTTCTTTATTAACAAAAGAAGAGATGCAGTTGTTATTGCTAGATCGAGACTTGGCTACTGTTGGCTCTGATAGGGAAACAGCGAGATGGCAAATGTTAATGTAGAAGCACTACATTAGGAACATCCTAACTGAGTGAGTCAATAAACTAGAGCAGCTGTCTTTAATATGCACACACTTACAAAAACTTACACTTACAAAAACAAAGTAATTCTTGCTTAATTGGAAGACAGTGTCTTTTTACCCAGTGTGTTTTTTATCCTGTCTTCCTTCCCTCACCAATGGCACTTCCACTTCATGAAAGCATCCAGGTTTGCTCCTGCTGGGGGGGTCACAGAGATCAGGTCACCATTCGTCCATATCTCCAACCCCACCAGAGCAATAAAGGTCCTCAGAGGTTTGTAGACCTGAAGAAGACAACATTGGGGATGTAACATTATACTCCAACTGCTAGCAACTACTGCAGAACAGTATGTAGTACAGTGTGTCTGTATTGGTATGGAATCTGTATAGAAATAGCAAAAAAACAGACTCACCATGTTGACAATCTCAAATATTCTCTGTCTCATCTTCTTTTGATCCCTGTTCATCTTCACATACTGAAACACCACAAGACAAATTTCTCATCCTGCTTCTCAGCAGTTTATCTTATAAAAATCTAATTTTGCAAACCAAGGGGAAAAAATGAAAAAGTTAGAAAAGAAGATTAATTTTACCGCGCGGTTATCAGCAACAAGGACGAGCTCAACGTATTTCTGCTGCTGTACAATAGAAATACCCTGAAGAAAATGGCTAGGTCTGGTTCTGCCGGAGGTTTCTTCCTGTTAAAAGAGAGTTTTCCCTTCCCACTATCGCCAAGTGCTTGCTAACAGGGAGTCCTCTGATTGTTGGTTTTTTCTCTTTGCTATTGTAGGGTCTTTGGAATTTGGCTCCCTCTGTTGGTCAATGAGATCTTGTGTACTTGCAAATAGCTGTTGTTATAAATAAGACCCTACTAGACTGGATGTCCTATGTACAATTGTGCATTGAACTGTACTATATGCGTTATTTTTATTTTTTTTTGCACTTGGCAGTAATAATTTGTCATCTCACTTGCTACTTGTCACAGCCTCCTGTGTTTCAGTTTACTTTACATACCACCAATTCACAACCATGGTTACATCAAGGTGCTTTATGCTGTAAAGAATCGACAATATTACAGAGAAAACCCCCCAAATCAGATGACTCCCTATGAGAAGCTCTAGGTGACAATGGGAAGGAAAAACTCATCATGCAAAGCCCACCAAAGCATCGCCTTTTGCAGCATAATTAAGAAATGGGTCAGGATCACCTGATCCAACACTAACTATGAGCTTTATCAAAAAGGACATCTGAAAAAAGACAAAGTGCTTAAACAAACACCACACACATAATAAGGATTTAGTTAACACACCATATAGACGACCAACAACACCTTCAAACGAACCTTTCCGGTAGCTTCAGATCAGACATGCACAGCGTTCAAGAGGACAAATGTGTAGAGATGCTTACTTTAGTTTATTCATGATGTGGGTGTCACCATCTTCCTCACAGGAAAGCAGCTTCAGTTAATAATTTCATGAGTTTCGTCCATAAGACATCAGATGAACATTAGAATAAAACAGAATAAAAAGTATGAGCACAAGGTTCAAAACAAATTTGAATCTAAAAGTGAAATACAATTATCTTTACTTTTTATTTCAAGTTATTTACCAAGTTGTGTAAAAAGTCAGTTTCTGATCAAGAATGTTGTTTACATCCATGACACCCTGAACACGTTCAACCTCATGCTCTCTGAAGCTAAGCAGCATTGGGCCTGGGTGGCACTTGGATGGGTTGACAGGTTCCTGCAAAGATATCAGTTTAATCCTAAATACAAGAAAACAACCCAGCATAACCAGGGAACGTGCTGCTGTGCGGACTGAGAATTAACAACATGCGTCTCCTTATAAAAAAAAACAAACAAAAAAGAAACTAGCAGGAGATCTTGTGAGGGCAACAAGGTAACAGCAGCGCTATATGCAAAATAAGTTTGGAGACATTAAAGAATATCTTTGTCATTCATATATGAATACACCTGTGGATGCATCGGTTATTAAAATAAAACTCTTGTGACAGCCCGTCTAGGGGTGGCCAGACCACAACCATCCTCATCAGACCCCAAGCAGCTACATCACATAACTGGAAAAATTTGATAATGATTTACTTACAATGAGTTGTTTTGTAAGATTATTTGACACAAAGGAAGGAGCTGATTATAACTTCAGGGTGCACCCAATGCCAAAACAACAACAAAGAAAGGAGCCTGTCTCAGGGATTTAACAAACTTACCTACTCTAAAAGATTAAACCAAATGACAGCAACCTGCCTCCCTAAGAAAAACATGAGAAAACGATGAACAAAAAGGCAGTCCACCCCTACATAAGACGAACAGCATTGGGCAAGTAACAAAAGGTCTGCTGGTTGGGATAAGCTGAGGATGAATGACTGGCCGTCCATGGCATTGGAGGAAAACAACACACGTAATCAGGAATTTCTGTGTCTTTATTGAACACAACATAAGCATTCCCAGTATGGTGAAAAATACAAGGGGACTTCATAAATAAATAATCAATCAGCAGCTTCTAACAAGACTTTCTGGTAGCTGCAGACATGCACAGCTTCAGGAGGATCAACAGGTGGACCTTAGAGAAGCAAGTGTTTGTGGCACAGGCAAAGCTAAGCTAATATTAAATGTAACATTGTTTATATCCACTTATTACACATGATTTTATATGGAATCTTTGATCAATCTGGTTGCATTTGATAACATCTGTAATTCAAAGTATAATTATAATTACAATAAGACATAATATGTTTTTTAAAAGGTAATTCCGTTAACATTAAGACTCATAATAACTTTTTACCTGTTAAGATCTGGCTGATCTTTTTTTAACTCTTAAATGCAGTTACAATATTATTTTAGTAACTCATTCCTCTGACTACTCCTTTTGTGTGACTCTGTTAAGAGGCTCCAGCTGCAGCCACAGGCCTCCCTCTGCACGCAGGGCGAGTTGGGGAAGACGGCGCACTCTCCCCGAGCTGCTCCCGAGTTCAGGCTTGACCCCTGGGATCAGTCGAAACCTGAGCAGGGTCAGCGCTACAACAACTCGAAGCTCCGTAAAAGCAATGTAACTTGTGTAACTCAGCTACAGAAATGTCAGAAGGTCAGATTATTACTTGTGTACAGTCTTTAAGGCTTGTTTGAATCGCTTCCCCTGCTGAGTCTTCCAGTAAATCTGGTCCCAGTGGTGAAAAATGTTTTCTCGCCGATGTGTTACAAGGTCACTGAGCTCCAATATGGCTGATACGTACTCACTGGAAGACCTGGAGGGACAATCTTCTTAGAAACTGACAACTACAACAAAAATGAAAGATATCAGTTGAAATCAGTGGCTGTTCTCACTCCTGACAGTTGCTGTCATAGCTGAAGGCACATTTTAGTAAACTGTCCAGAGTCAGCAGAGTGATGTGGTCAAACATCTCCAGATTACAAGTCGACACCACTTGTCCTGAAAACAGAAACAAGGAGGGATTAACAGGATAAAGATATCAGCATAAGCATGGAAAGAAAATCACATTTGGGGGGTGATTCATGCAGTCTAAGTCTTCAACTTAAAGCAGCTGAACTGTTCAGGATCGGTTTAAGATGTTATTGGACAAACAGTTAACACTATGATTTGATCTCAAATATGGTAACATATGTTATACATATGAATTTTAAAGATCAGCTAAGTTCTGTGCAGTCAGTGTAGATGTAGATTGTGCGTTTGCGTGTTCAGCCTCCTCGATAATTTAAGGAATTTTTTTTAAAACTGAGAATAAATAAAAACGAATGAATAAAATACCCTAGTCTATTAGTTCCCCCCCCACACACACACACAAAACAAACAAAAAAACAAACAACACCCCTCCATGTAATGTTAATATTACCATGCTTCAACACATTCTGCACTTTCGTGAATCTAAAGTAAACAGTCTTTTTTTTTCCACTCGTCTTTACTCGATCTGTACAAATCTAAGTTATTATTATTATTATTAATAAAAGATATAAACATCTCATCAGTGCCACTGTTTGTGTATTGTTTTAAATGACAGCAGTTTGAAAGCATGTGAAAACGTCGGTGTATCCTATGAAAATTGCTGATAAGGAAACATTTGATCTTCTTGAAAGAGTGGCTGCTAAAAGGTGTGGTGCACTAAAACTCTGGAAATCACTACAGAAAATTATGTGGTAGTTTTGTAGAGGGTGTGTTACTCTTCACCAAAAGAAATATGAATAACAGGCATCACATTGATGAGTCTTATTCTGCTGAAGGTTTCTTCCTGCTAAATGTAACTTTTTCCTTCCGACCACCAGAATGTGCTTGCTCATAGCAGTTCACTTGATTACTGCTGTTTTTTTTCCAATACTGTAAGTTGTTTAACTAACAGTAAAGCATCTTAAGGTGGCTGTTACTGTGTTCTGTGTGCTCTTACTGCAATTAAAACCTGAATGACTAATTTAGAATCTGAAAATAATTGAAAAACGTATTTTTCTGATGGTTGTACCAGTTTTAACAATGTTTGCTTGTCTTGTTTGCGACCGGTGGTACCCCTGTATACACTAATCCTATCAACTTCACAACCCTATGTGACTTAATTTAACATTTTCAGAAAACTTGACCTGTGACCCCTGACTTTGAGGCCGAGGTCACTGAGAATCAAACTTGTCTGAGCTTTTTAGTAGATGCACCTATGGTATCGATTTCAAAACTCCATGTAGCCTACGTCTCAAGTTATCGCATTCACAAACTTGGTTGTCCACATTGCCCGCTTGGAGGTATGACGATGAGCTGAGGGATAAACTCAAACTGTCATGCGATCAGCTTTGTGTGCATTACTGCATGCGTGATTGTGTGTATCTTACATGCATGATTTTAGATGAGGAGTTAAATACAGCAATGTAGCTCCTCAATATATCAAAATGAAAAGCTGGAGTGAGCAGTCGTCTCTCGCGGGACCACACCACTCCATTACTGATCAACACACTGTGTCCTGAAACCAAAAAAAAAGACTTGTAGTTAGGAGCACTGTTGTTTGGCTTTTAGAACAAAAACAATACTGGGAAAGATTTAATTCCAGTAAACTCTGCAACGTATGAGGAAAACTAAAATATTTCACTCACCCAGCCATGGGCGCAGGCGGTGAGAAATTAATTCATCTTTCACTGTGATGCTGGCTGAAGGAAGTAAATGATGAACAATGTAAGCAAACACCAAAAGCTTAGCTTCAGACTGACTGTTGGTGTTTTATAAGCAGAGGTTTGACGTAGTCAGGGTGAAAGAGTTTGACCAGATGGTAGAAAGGACCGAGGAACTAGTAGCAGGAGTGTTTGTACGTCTTCACCAGATCATCTATCTGCTGGAGACCTTCTTCTGTGCTCTGCATCTTTAATGTTTTTTCACAAAACAAGACTTAAAGATTGGTGCTGATTATAGCAATCAAAGAGAAATAGTAACATAGCAACAAAAAGTACATCCTGTTTAACTGTGAAACCTATAGCTGCATCATGTAGAGATTACAAATATTTAAAATAGTTCATAAAAAAGGAGGATGTCTGTTTGTCGTACCTTCCCAAGATGGTCCAACAGCCATGAACGTGTCTGTGTTTTGCTGAAACAGGACAACCTGTGAGTGTACCAGGCGTGACGCAGCAGCAGCCTCGCAGTCCAAAGTGCAACCACA